GGTGTTCGCGTCGAACTGCAAGATAAAGGTCATGGAGGACACTGAGCGCTTGGGGACCGAGAAAACCGAAGAGTCGCAAGAAGAGCTGCGGAAAGGCCTGCGGGAAACGTTGAAGGAAGAGTTGCGGGAGGAGCTCATGGACAAGTTACGAGTGGAGCTTCTGGGAACGATAAGAGAAGAGGTGAAGCGAGAGTTGATGGCGGAGATCAAGGTGGAATTGTTCAGAGACATGGCCCAGGCTATGATGGGCGTGGCCTGCGGTACCAGCAGCGAGAAGGCGAAGATGGCTCTGAATAGTATATAGTGTCAACATAGAGCAAAAGTCAGTGGTTCTAACTCAACAAGCTAAGATTACCGGCCTCCCACCTGTGAATGTTTACCGATTCTTGATGAATAATGTCAACCAGTGCTCTTGCAATACATCTAAAGATCTCTTCAACATTCTGAAAACACCAATATTCATAGCCGTCAGTCTAGATGGGAATCCAAAAAGACTTGAAGGTGGATGTTTACTTATTACATGCCTACACACGCTACAGTCTTCACCAAGTAGGTTCAAGATGGGTCCGTTTACAGATAACGCCCCAACAAGGTCCCTCGGCCATTGTCTCAAGATGGACCTACACTGAACGGGAGATGCTAAGTCGGTCCTGGAAAATAGCCGATATGCCACATCAGACAAGGAAAAAACAAAGGAAAAAAAAAGAAAAAAAGGAACAGCTACCATGTCTATTTGGGAGAAGTCGCAAAGTATACGGCGGAAGTGTTAAGATTCTTGTGATGCTGATCGCTTTGTTTACGGTGTGGAGGAGGGGTCAGGAGATGGTCAATGAGGGTTCTGAAATTTTTGGGGTTTTCCTTCCGTCAAACACTGGACACTAAACACACTCCCTCCCCCAGTACCTACGTCGGGAATAGTAAGCGCAGTTGAGTGATAAACCTGCAGATCAAGCAGACATGCGAGATTTCAATAAAGATTTTCCTGCAAGATAAGCCCAAGGGCCTGGACCGATCTTTCGCCGCCGTCCACTTTGGGAAGTCCAGACTCAGAGGCTGCGGCAACGTGCTGCTCGATAGTAATTTCTTCCCCAATCGGCAACAGGTCAACAGATGATGGATTGTTGTGTGAGATCATCTCAAAGTTGTATTTCACTATGTGATTGTCCTTTGCCTGGCCTATTGAGCTGTTTGAACCACACCATACTTTACCAGTTCAACAAGGCATATACTATGTAACGTATATTATAAGCGAGTGACCCATATAAGCGAGTGACCCACTTCCTTCGTAACATAACACCTTCGCACTCAATAACAATTTCCTCAACTATCCAAGATGCCTTCTGATTCAAATGAAGCCCACATAATTTTAGCCCTCCAAGCACTTCAAAACGATAAGAATCTAAGCGAACGAGCCGCAGCTAAGATCTATGGAGTCGATCGTAAGACTCTAGGGCGTCGGCGCGCTGGCCGGCCTGCACGACGCGATACTACGCCCAAATCGAAGAAGCTTACTTAATCCGAAGAGGAGGCTATTATTTAATACGTTATTAAACTATATACGCGAGCTTTTCTATTAAAATTACGTGGTGTAGAAGATATAGTTTATTAATTATTACGTATACGCGACGCGCCCTTTATTAGTAAACATTAGGTATATAATTTTGTTAAACGTTAGTTATAACTCGATACGCGTTTTACGCGTAAATATAATTATTAGAGAGCTAAGTGCGTAAATCTAAAGGTTATTACCGAGTAGTTTACGCTTATATAAAATATTAAAGTTAAATATAGTATTATAAATAACGATATTTATAATTTCGACGAAACTAAGTTTATAATAAATATTATTTTCGCGGATATAATAATTACGACCTCGGACGGTTTTAGTAAAGTAAAATTAATTTAGTTTAATAACCGCGAATAAATAATTATAATTTAAAAAATTAATATTTTCAGTTAAACTATCCCTCCTTTTATTATTTTAGCCGCGTAATATTATTTTATTAATTAATATATTAAATATAATTTATTATTTATTTAATATATTATAATTATTAATAATAATTAAATTATTAATATAATAAATTTAAATTAAATTAAGTATTTCGATTATTATATAGCGCTTTATATAAAGGGTAAATACCGGTTATTAATCTTCGACGGCTATAAAAATAATTATTCGATTAAATTTAAACGTTATTATTAATAAAATAATATTATTATGCTTTATATATCTCTATACTCTTCTTACCTCCTTTAATTATTTAATATTAATTATATTAAGCTATTAAAATAGGCGTATGGTTATTAAATCGAGGATTCAATATATATATATATTAATTATATAAATAAATTTAAATTCCATTATACTTTCTATAAAGCTTTTTTCGCTTTTATAATAAAAAAAATATATAAAGTAGCTTTACGGGTATTAACTTTATATTATATAATTTAAAAAAAGTATTTTCTAAACTAAATATAAAGCTTTATACGTTAATACTTTTAAACTTATAGCCTAATATTATATAACTTTAAATCTCTTAAATACTATATAACCCTCGAGAAACTAATTTATAATTAACGTTTATTAAGACTTATATTATTAATTATTAAAATAATTTCCCGACTTTAATATTAATTACGGTAAATTAATTTATTAAGGGTATAATAACTGTAATATACTAGGTAGCTCTCCTTCGTATAGAGGTCTCTTCGCTCTATAAGGCTAATAAAGGATTAAGTAAGCGCCGGAGAGCTAAAAAAATACGTGTGAGGCTTAGAGGGTTATTTACTTGTGACGAACCCCTATACAGAACCTCTGAAAGGGATACTAGTTAAAGGTAACTTCTAATAATTAGTTCGGTGCAGCTAAACAGTGCATAATAAGATGTTTTAATATAAATACTAAATACCGTAAATATAAGCTAAATTACATATTGCGGAACTATCTATTTATATTAGTTAGTTCCTCCGTATATATAGACCTTGTGCTAAGCTCTAATTATAGTAATTATTCCGCTTGTTCCTAATAATTATAATAATCGTTATAATCCTTTATAATTCCTTATTAATTATATTACCGCGATTACTATATTTTCCTAGTCTACTATCTAT